GGAATCACGGGATACCCCCGGGGGAACCTGTAGTAGGGGGCAATTGAGTTTTTACTCAAAAACATGCCGTGCGACAGCTCTTTCTTCATAGATTTTCATGGATATTCTTTCTATAGACTTAAAGTGAATCATTTACCACATTGAGCGCTCTCGGAACCACTGGGATGCCCCGAAAGAACCTGTAGCAGAAGACAATTTCGTTTTAACTCAAAAACGTGCCGTGCGACAGCTCTTTCTTCCTGGATTTTCATGAATATTCTTTCTATAGACTTAAAGTGAATCATTTATCACATTGGCCGCTCTCGGAACCTCTGGGGGAACCTGTAGCAGGGAACAATTGTGTTTTTACTCAAAAACATGCCGTGCGACAGCTCTTTCTTCATGGACTTTCATGAATATGCTTTCTATAGACTTAAAGTGAATCATTTACCACATTGGCCGCTCTCGGAACCTCTGGGGGAACCTGGAGCAGAGGAAAATTGCATTTTTACACCAAAACATGCCGTGTGATAGCTCATTCTTCATGGTTTTTCATGAATAGGCATTCATTAAACTTCAAATGGATCAGTGACTACATTGGTACCTCTCGGAATCACGGGATACCCCCGGGGGGAACCTGTAGTAGGGGGCAATTGCGTTTTTATTAAAAAAAACATGCCATGCGATAGCTCTTTATTCATGGATTATCATGAACTATAGACTTAAAGTGAATCATTGACCACATTGGCCGCTCTCGGAACTACTGGATACCCCCGGGGGAACCTGTAGCAGGGGACAATTGCGTTTTTACTCAAAAACAATGCCGTGCGACAGCTCTCTCTTCATGGATTTTCATGAATAAGCTTTCTATAGAATTAAAGTGGATCATTGACCACATTGACCTTTCCTGGGATGACCACATTGACTGGAATTCCCTGGGGGAACCTGTAGTGCGGAACACGACGAGGACTTTACACACCTGCCATGGCCAGCACAGTCGCCGGATTTAAATATAATTGAGCCACTTTGGTCGACGTTGTAAACTCGTATTCGAAGCGGTTTTCCTTCTCCATCGTCGTTGAAAACGCTTGAACATCTTCTGATCCAAGAATGGTACAACATTCCACTAGAAGCCATCCAAAAACTTTATGAATCAATTCCCAGACGAATCCAAGCTGTTATTGAAGCAAATGGTGGTCCAACATCATATTAGACGGTTCCATTATAACATTTTCCTACAATTTTTAATGGCATTCTTAATTTATAATTAATATTTCATTAATAATACATAACTTTGCAAATAGCAAATAGCTTTGGAACCCAGGTTAAAAGCGCAACTTTTCAAATAAGAATGGTTTATTCGCACTGTCACTATTGTTTATTTGAAATGCAGGAAATGGCACTAACTGATGGTTACTAGCGAGCACAAAAGAGCTGTCGGACATCTCCAGAGCTGACGTCGACAGTCATTTTGTTAATTAAAGAAATGTTGTTGTGCTCTTGCTACACCTTACATTTATACAAGAGAGACTTTTATTGGTCTACAACCAGAGTTTAAAGACCTACTCTCCCTATCCACTGCTAGTAGTCAATGGTCCATTTCACGACTTCAGATATTTCTAGCTGTCGAACGGCATTGTGAAGTGAAAATACAATTTTCCTCTTACATGTTATCCTGGGGCATCTGCTGGTTCCAGAATGAGCTCCCCAATAACATTGTTTTGTGTAAAAATGTGATTGCATCCTACTACAGGTTCCCCCAGGACATTCCAGTGACTCCGGAATGGTCAATGTGGTCAATGATCCACTTCAATTCTATAGAAAGCATATTCATGAAAGTCCATGAAGAAAGAGCTGTCGCACGGCATGTTTTTGAGTAAAAACACAATTGTTCCCTGCTACAGGTTCCCCCGGGGGTATCCAGTGGTTCCAAAAGCGGCCAATGTGATAAATGATTCACTTTAAGTCTATAGAAAGAATATTCATGAAAATCCACGAAGAAAGAGCTGTCGCACGGCACGTTTTTGAGTTAAAACGAAATTGTTCCCTGTTACAGGTTCTCTCGGGGCATCCCAGTGGTTCCGAGAGCGCTTAATGTGGTAAATGATTCACTTTAAGTCTATAGAAAGAATATCCATGAAAATCTATGAAGAAAGAGCTGTCGCACGGCATGTTTTTGAGACAAAAACTCAATTGCCCCCTACTACAGGTTCCCCCGGGGGTATCCCGTGATTCCAAGAGCGGCCAATGTGGTCAATGATTCATTTGAAGTTTATGGAAAGCCTATTCTTGAAAAACCAGGAAGAATGAGCAGTCGCACGGCATGTTTTGGTGTAAAAATGCAATTGTCCTCTGCTTCAGGTTCCCCCGGGGGCATACCGGAGGTCCCGAGAGCGGCCAATCTGGTCACTAATCCATTTAAAGTCTACCAAAAGCCTATTCATGAAAAAGCTGTCGCACGGCATGTATTGGTGTAAAAACGCAATTGACCCCTGCTACAGGATCCCTCGGGGGTATCCCGTAATTCCAACAGCGACCAATGAGGTCTTAGGTTTATGGAAAGCCTATTCTTGAAAAACCATGAAGAATTAGCTGTCGCACGGCATGTTTTGGTGTAAAAATGCAATTGTTCCCCGCTCCAGGTTCCCCCGGGGGCGTACTGGATGTTCCGAGAGTGACCAATGTGGTCAATGATTCATTTAAAGTTTATCGAAAGTCTATTGACGAGAAACCATGAAGAAAGAGCTGTCGCACGGCATGTTTTGAGTGATTAAATGATCTGCCCGCATTCAGAACCCTCCACCAGAACCGATTCCAGAGAAATGGCCATATCTCGGTTGATTATAGACCGATTTTAGTTCTTGGCATATGGTTCGCTTTAGAAATGGTTCTTCTTTCGTTGTATTTACTAAAATATTTATATAAAATTTCACCAAAAATTTAGCAAGTTAGACAAGCCCTCCGGAAACCCGGAATATCTCCGGTATCCGGTGACCAGGATTATTTTCGTGGCTACACCGTAGAACAATATTAGTTTTCCAGTCAAATGCTCTTGGAAGATTTAAAATCGGATCATATTTGACGAAGTTACAACACTCCAAAGTTGACCAAAAATTTGCCTATCCTAGTTATTTTGAGTAACCCCTGTAGAAAGTTAGAATCTGCCATGAGCCATCATACGACTCATCAAATCACATTACAATTTAAATCCAAAAATACTTGAAGGACGTTGAACTAAGAAAGGTAGGTTATACCCGTTCTGAAAAAAAAAGCGTTGCGCACAAATAATGAAATGGAATTTCCAGTGCCGGATCAAAGCTACTGCATCATACGATTCATTTTATTTTTGTCTCGCCTTGCAGCAGGCCGGCCGGCAGTAAAGTGTACCCTCCAACCAAGTCTATTATCAATATTGTTCAACTGAGCTGCACCGGAAAATGCACGCTTTTATGTTCAACGTGCCTTCTTTTTTGGATATTACGTCCTGACTCGAACGTTATACAAACTCTTAATTTTGAGTAATGTTGATTGAACATATTTTTTTGTTTTTAGTATGCAAGCAAATAGAACTCTGACTTGGCCAGGTGACTTCGTTTTGCTATGCAGCAGCAGCAGCACCTTTGTTCACTAGGCTAAAAAGGGGTCCCTAACAAAGCCATTAGTCTTATTTCCTCTAACGCTATCTTCTTCCGGTAGGAGTTTGTTTGAATAGACCTACACAAGTGCTTCACTGTGCTAAAGACTTGATTTGTGAGTGAAGCAATCAAAATGGCTTTTAATTATGGAATTAACAAAATAATTTGATGAGGACAGCTTGCTATAGGATAGAAAGACATCCATCCATAGCATAATTTTCAATCAAGTTCATCAATTAGGGATTCGAACAATTTGTACACCGTGTCAAGTGGTGAAACACAATTTCCTAGGCAACGATGGTAATATGAATTTTAATAGCCTTCGATTGTCCCTTCAATGTCCAATTGTTCCTATAGTCTTGTTGGCTTTATTCTCACAGTTTGAATACATCTGCATTGAGTATCCATTAACACAAATATCAAACCAGCACCCACATGGTCCACATGCTTATTCATTATCTCCTACAGATGGATCGGAAAGAGGACGAATTCGGTAATCCAATCGCACTAATTGCCAGCTTTGGTAACGTACCGCAATCCGAGCAGATGAGACCACCGTCCGTCACCATCCGAATCTATTAGACCTCGCAGTCCGTCCACACGCACGGACGGAATCGGATCAGGTCACGCTCACGCTCGGCGCTGTAGGCATAACAAAAGAAAAACCACCACCGCACAGGCCACCGTCTCTAGCAGCACGGCTCGGCACAAACGTTTAGGGAAACGAGATCTCTATGGAAACGGGAATTAGAATTATACAACGGGGAAAAAGGCACACACCATGCTACTGCACGGCGAATGAGAACAACCCAAATTTGAGTTTAGTTAGCTCATAAATCACATTCGAGGTTTGTCCAGGAAAAACTTCCCGAATTTGAGAAAACTAAAGATTGGATTCGCTCAGTCTATTAGTACTACTCCTAGACTGAGTAAAATTTTCGTCAATTTTCCTCATTTCCGGCAAATTTACCATCGCTGAATTCCTGCACTTTTGGCGATTATGAGTGAACCCAAACTCAAATTTGGGTGTTCTCATTCGCCGTGCGGTGTTCGTCGCCTATGAGGCAGACCATGGCAGCAGAAAAAGGATAGCTAATTGCTCATTTGTGTTTGCCTTCGGCTTTCTCTTGAAAAACATGTCCGAGAAACCAAAATCCTTCTTTAGTTTATATTGGATCCAAAGCATTATCACTATGACAGCTGATCATACTTGATCGTGTAGATCTCTCTCGCATACAATCAAAGCTTCGATACCGAAGACTGTATTGGTATCGACATAAACTTCTACGAAAACGTCAGATCATCCAATAATCGCTTTTAAGTTAAGGAATAGTGGAAGGAATTCTTAAAACTAATGTAAAACATTTCAAATGTTGATGAACTTACCTGTTCTAAACGCTGCTACACAAATTACGGCTCCTATTAGTAGTCGATTCATGGTTGCTTGAGAATCTGGTTATCCTTGGCTTCTGCAATCCAATTGATCAATTTTTTTGGGCGTGTTTGGTTACTTGATCGACGGGCGATCTTATTTTCCTGTGAGTTCCCAACACTTTTCCCGATTTCTGTCGATATCTTCAGCAAATTCTTTGAGCTCTATCGCAACAGTTCCACCAGCCACAAGTTCAAACTACTTAAACGCAAGCAAATCCCGAAAAACATAATTTGAATCGGAGACTCGAGCGGAAGATCACCACTTCTTGGTTGTTTAATTTCGTTGCACACCTACGGGGACGATCGTCTTACAACTACAAACAGCACCACGTTCATGTTGCATTATTTCATTCATTCATTCACACACTATGATCATCGACCGAGGACAGTTTATACCTACTAAATAAATACTAAATGGCTGGCTGCAGTGGTATATGCACGTGCGAACGGACCAAAACAAACCCGCAGACTGATTCATCATCGGTTCGTTTGTTTCGCATATACCGGGAGCGAGCGAGAAGCTTCCACACATTCATGAATTGGTTGAATGATTCATTCAGTCTTACAATTTCTCTCGCAGCGTAGTATGTACTTAGATGTGCTTTAATATGTTAACGTCTCTTTAAACTGAGTGGTAGATGTGGTTATGGCTGGAATGAGAGAGAAATTATTCGAAAGATTCAGTTGCTGTTGGCTTGAATGTTCACTACATGGCATCATGAACTAACAGTGGGCCAGGGAAGAAAACACATATTCATCAAAGTCTTGTGGTTTTCCATTTCGGGTAGGTGGTAGATAGGTATGTGGTTAAGTGTCTATGGAATAAGATATATAAGTTAAAATATAAGTCATCCGAATTATGGTTTTCAATCGATTGGATATGGTAATTAATTGACTCTACCCCGTTGGGCATAAATGTGGAAAACCCTTATAGTATACTTATACCATAGACAAACAGACATAACACATTGAATAGTTCTCACTGTAAAACATCGTCGCTAAAACATAACCGCCATTTGTTGAGTACATTATGAAGAAATAATTTAAAACTTGAACCTAATTTGGTCCACGTGCAATTTTTTTGGATCAAAACAAAACATGAACCGTCTGATGATTATGATCTAACCAATCATGCTACAAATCAATACGGTTTTATTTTTTTTAAGTTTCATATTGGCATGAACTGCCGTTCTGCGCATATCTGTCTCATGTTCTAAAAGTAACATCTGAGAAAATCGCGAATAATGTTTCGAATCATTTCTGCTCATCGGAAGAAATATAAGTTAAAATAAGTTAGTGCATTGTTCACATTTCTACAGAATCAATTTGGTTTAGTGAAAACTACAGAACTTACCTTCAATGAAATAAGTTAAGCCTATTTCTATACAAAACAATTCAGTGGGACTGAGAAATTCTACGCATATCAGCCCCACTAAGAACTATTACTTTCTGTGTTGCTTTGATGGCCACGTTGCGTTTGACGTCTTTACTCTTGTGACTGTAGTTCTATTTACATGAGCGTGCTTGAGTTCTCCGCGAAGTTTTGAAAGTGGATAGTTTGCATAGGTTTGCATCATTAACTGAAACCAACAATAAGTGAGTTGACATTGCTGCAATCGTCGTTTGCTACATCTATAAAGCCTATAAGTATGGGCATCTTGAGAAACAAATGATGAATGCTCTGTGCAGAACACAATAAGATTGTCGATCGATGATTTCAAGAAAGACTTTGGAAAAGTTAACATACACAGCAAGGATTTCATTATATTCAACCAAATGCAACCACGGTAGTATATTTAGAACATTCTAACGACTAAATTTACGAAAGGACTATACAACAACGGATATTCTGAATCAGTCAACAGGAACCTTATTTTAACTACAAAATATGGTAGCAGCTATCAACTAAAGGGTGATACGGTCAAAATTTGGTCAAGGGAAAACGCGTGTAAATCGGTGAAATCGTTTATTTAAAAATCAAATTAAATTTCTTTTTCAAGTTCAATTAGTATAAAATTCAGGAAAAATATTCAGTTAGGCTTCCGCTTTTCCAAATCCGAATTGCCGGGCCTTACGCTTGACCCGCCATCAGATTTTGTACAGCCACCTTGTCCACCTTCTTCGCCGCAGAAAGCCAGTTTGCCTTGAACTGCTGCTCGCCCTTAGCAGTTTTTTTGGTCTTCTTTAGGTTCCGCTTGACAATAGCCCAGTATTTCTCAATTGGACGGAGCTCTGGCGTGTTGGGAGGGTTCTTGTCCTTGGGAACCACCTGCACGTTGTTGGCGGCGTACCACTCCATGGCCTTTTTACCGTAATGGCAAGATGCCAAATCCGGCCAAAACAGTACGGAACAACCGTGTTTCTTCAGGAAAGGCAGCAGACGTTTATTCAAACACTCTTTCACGAAAATTTCCTGGTTGACAGTCCCGGAAGCTATGAAAATGCTGCTTTTCAAGCCACAGGTACAGATGGCTTTCCAAACCAGATATTTCTTTGCGAACTTTGACAGTTTCATGTGCTTGAAAACATCTGCTACCTTTCCCCTTCCTTTTGCCGTATAAAACTCCTGTCCCGGAAGCTGCTTGTAGTCGGCTTTGACGTAGGTTTCGTCGTCCATTACCACGCAGTCAAACTTCGTCAGCATCGTCGTGTACAGCCTCCGGGATCGCACTTTGGCCGTCGTATTTTGTTTATCATCGCGATTTGGAGTCACTACCTTCTTGTAAGTCGATAGTCCGGCTCGTTTTTTGGCTCGATGCACGGTTGTAGACGATACACCCAGCTTATTTGCGGCATCTCGGAGAGAGAGGTTAGGGTTTCGCTTGAAACTACCGGCAACTCTCTTTGTCGTCTCAGCGGCTTCCGGTTTTCGATTTCCCCCCGATCCAGACTTCCTGGCTGTCGACAAACGTTCCCCAAACACTTTAATTACATTTGTAACGGTTGATTTGGCAACTTTTAGCGATTTTGCCAACTTTGCGTGCGAGTAACTCGGATTTTCGCGATGCGCGAGCAAAATTTTGATACGCTGCTCTTCTTGCTTGGACGGCATTTTGACAACTGAAGAGTGAATTCTAAAATCAAAATAGGAGCAACATTCTACACACACACACCTTCAAAATGAGGGGTGCTCAGGTTTTTTAAATGCAAAATTGAAAGAAATACGTCAAGTTGATATTGACCAAATTTTGACCGTATCACCCTTTAGGTGAATGAACACATCAAGTGACAGAAAGTGCCATAATTGTTAACTGCGTTTCTTCTAGTTGTTTTAGAGAATAATACGTAATTTTTCAATCACGTCAATATTGGAAGATATTTATACATCGTTGCTACATACAATTGAATTTTAAATCATGTTATTTTGTCTTTGGTTTTTAAGATCTTTACACTGCTTCTTCTCAATTAATTGTTATTACTTTAATAATGCACAGTTTGAAATCTGAACTATAATCTGGTGTTTAAATATGAATTCCCGTTTCTCTTAATATTTTTCATCATAAAATAAAGCTTCTACTTCCCGAAATGACTCATTGAGTTTCTTTGGATCATATAAATCCTGTTTCAATCATTCGTGCACTCAAATCGATTCGTTAATGCAAGATTCAGTAAAAAAATCTTTGTGGGACAGTTATGCGTAGAATTTCAACATGTGACAATTAGACTTGATGTTGTATTAAAATAAGCCCCTTAGTTCACGCTTGACGATTTTAGCAGCGTACAAGTATTGCACATCTTCTAAGCTATCTCGACCGAACTCTATTGCGTTTTAAATCGACTGTTTTCTCTTTCATATTTCGTCGTCAAAAACACCAAACTCCACAATCAAACACGACCCTACGTGACTACTGTGGAAATCCGCCGATATTAATTATGGGCAAATCACCCACGACGCAGCTTATCAAAGTCCAACTTACCCGTGCAGCAGCTAGAATCCAAATGACCTTTCACCAACTGTCAGGAAATGTGTATGAAAGATCATGACCTACCTAGTTATTATCCATCTCATATCTTCCCTCTCATTCGGTATAACAGTTATAAAAGTTTTGTTTGTACAACATTCATTCCTCTTGCTTTAACAATGATAAGATTGGTAAGCGCGAGATCATCGGCCACTACTGGAACTGTTAGCCAATATACGCTGACCGTTGCCAACCATTAAGTTCTACTCCCCCACAAGGAATAGAAGGGTGAGTGATGGCAGAAGCTGTCCATCCAGGACAAGAAATTCTTTACCGTTTCTCATTCTGGTAGACGTTTGCCGAAACTTGTACTTATGACCCACCCGGCTAGTGGAAAATGTACCTCTACATTATCATCATGGTACCCGGACAATGCTGCAACCTAGAACTCAAGAAGGATTCGATTCGACCTAAAATTCCCACTGGCGATAGTAGAAGCAGCAATAGACCTTCAGTTACTTCCTAGTGTTAGCCTTAACTTTTGGGTACTGAATTCATCTATGTTTGTTAAACATGTTTGGGAGAGTCAATCGACTGCGTCCATGGTTTTGAACTTTTGAACAGCCTAATAAATAAACAGGAGATCCTGGAAATCACTGTTCAATAACAACACAAAAATAAATAGTGATGCTCTTCTTCATTCTCATGGCTCTCAACTATTTACTTTTAACCCCTTCATTCTCATCGTCTATCAAATAATTTCCAGCAGCATGCAAATGCGTACCTAGGATCTAGATACTGGTTGTCAACGTTTGATTACTACCAACAATCAATACGAAACTATCGATTTGAAATTGGCTCACTACTTGACTAGCCTATTGGTCCCAAGCAAATCGATTAACGTACCCCATTCTAATCGAAATTCTAGTACTGCACAATGTTTGTTTTGATTCGGTATGAAAGTTTGACAGATAAAATGAGGGGTTAGTGGAATTTCTTATGTTTCGAGGGGTGAATCGCTTAGCTTTGGACCGAAGATAGTACCAGAGCTGAGCCAAAAAGTAGAGCTCGTTTCTTCGGGACCTACTAGTCTTAGAGTTACCTCTATGTTACTACCTTCTCTTTGCATTTGCTTGTTGTTCCTTCATAACTTTCCTCCTTACTTGGTTTTGCCGGAATTGCATACTTATTCCCCGCTGGCGGTTCCGATCGCGTTAATAAATACCGTGATTCAGATTGGCTCCGTCAAGGGCTTCGTTACCTCCGGTGTGGTTACCTTCACAATTATGTTAGCAGCATTAAGAAGGACTCACTCGTTTTCTCAGAACGGCCGTCCCGGTCGCGTTCTCTCCTTTGGCTTTGCCACGGCGAGGAGACGATTTTTGCAAATCCGTCCTCACTCGCATTCAGAAGTCGTGTTCTTATCCCATTTTCCTTGCAAGTGGGTGATTTGCCCTTTTATTACCTATCGGGGGTCTCCAAGATTCCAGGTTCGTCTCCTGGCAGGATCGCCAGAAATGTGAAAATCCGCCGATATTAATTATGGGCAAATCACCCACGACGCAGCTTATCAAAGTCCAACTTACCCGTGCAGCAGCTTGAATCCAAATGACCTTTCACCAACTGTCAGGAAATGTATATGAAAGATCATGACCTACCTAGTCATTATCCATCTCATAGCTACCATCAGTCTTCAACCACGGCCTTCATGATCATGTTATGGAAACACCTAACAACACAACAAAAACTAATCAGTCAAGTGTCAAGCTTGCATGTTCGATCGCGACATTTATTTTCTTAACGAATCATGCTTCAACATGAGAAAAAAAAAATAATAATGAATTATTCGTAGACACCTAACGGTAAAAACCCCGAGGAATATGCTTCATGCGATCGAGGTCATCCCTCTGACAAATGGGAACGATGAAAATAAATCTCGATTGCTCCCCCGAAGGAACACATCCGCTCCCGCAAACAATGCATCAGATCCCCAATCCGGCGCAACCAGCATCCCGCCCAAGCATGCCAACATCACCATCAGATAGGGGAAATATTCCCCTACCCGATAGCCTCCGAAAATAAACACTTCAATCAACGATCCCTCGCAAACCAAAGCCCATCTTCAAAAACTATCAACACAAACAGGTACAGGCATGATTCCTCTTTCATTTGGTATAGTCTGTCTGCGAGACTGAGCTTCTATCCGCGAGCAATCGGCGACCAACGGGCAGACGCGCAAATCTCAAAGCTCTCCGGGCGTACCCTCGAAAATGCAATCGAGAAATTTATAAGAACAATCTTCAACTGGAACGTACTCACCAAATCAATATATCCGGGAGCACGATCCCGATGCTTATTTTGCTCTCGCAAACCCGTCGTCGTCGAACGGCAAAAAAGGGAACTCGGTGAGCAATTTTGTGAAACGTAATTTTCACTGAAAACAACCGCGAATTCACTAATTTCACCACACCCAACTGCGAAACACGTTCAGAAGCACTTTTGGTACACTTTCGATATCAATTCCGTTCGAAAACACTATTCTTGCAAAAATAGTTGCAAGTGAACCAACATTAACACCGATCGTTGCGAGCTCTTTTACGCACCTTTCAGCGCGTAAATAAACTTAATTTAAACATTATCACTCGCGATGCCACTAATTTCTGGTCCGGGAGAAAAAATCAAAGAACGCAGAGCTACATCTCTTCTGATGCTTGCAAACAAACATGATGAATCAAAATTTCTTTACCGATTCTAAAACTTTCCAAATGCAGCCGAAAACTATGAAAGCGCACGCACGCACAAAACAGAGAACAAACTCAAAACGCAACCGTATCCAAAGGGGTTCGAAACTGCACCGATACCGATATTTTAAAACCTTTGATACCGATAAACTTGAAAATAATCTGGCAACGCTGGCGGGTTTCAGTCTCATCTTCTTGTTACTTTCAGTCGTCTTCAGCTTAACTTCTTGTCGGCTAGAAATAACCACGCTCAGATAGCAGGGTTAATCGATAACTTTCCATCTGTCAAATTTTAACCAAAAGTTTAAAAAAATCCACCAAATGGTTCAAAGCATAAATGAATCTGGAGCAGGTAAGTTCCACTTTTTATCAAAACAAACTTCCCGACAGAAAATATCACAGAGTGGTTTTGGTGGAAAATTATCAAATGACTATCATATTACATGGGTGATTTCGTTCTAATTCATCAATTTGGTGTTGATTAAACCATTTCTGATCTAAAATGTTATAACTAGGACATCGTTGCTTGCTATTTTCAGATTTAACACAAGCGCAGCAGCTCTTATTCTGAGAAAAACTAAAATACATACATTCGTGACGGTCTTCGGCGACAGTGTCGTATGACAGAGCTTGTCATATGACATTTTATTTTTACATTTACATTTACATTTTGTTTTGCAAGTGTCGGAAGCAAAGGCAGTCGATTATCACAAAAAATGTGTCGACTACGGTAACCGCTTACAAGACTGATCCGGAGTCTCGAAAAGCGCTCCACACGTCAAATCATACTCTCACTGAAGTTCACTCTCCCTCTCTCTCGAGGAGTTTTTGTTTACTTCTTCCATATTCCTGCCGCGAGGTGAGGGCTGGTTAAACTCGCAGGACAAGAGTGTTTTAAAACCCTCAGTTAGTTTGAGGACGTTCAACAAGCCTGGTTACGAGTTACCGTAAAGCGAAATATTTTGAGATTCCAATCAAATTCCCGGTTCAGTGGCCACCCTGGAATAATGGACTATTCGGGGTAGGTGGCGATTAAAATATGACGTACATTCTTAAGGGGGAGAGGTCCCAGAATGTGGGCATTCCTCAGAAAATTTGTTTTCGACATTCTCATGTGTTGTGTGGAAAATATTGTTTCCCCTACCATACCATGGAGATTTCGGATACCGCTTTAGCACCAACAGGTTCCACGTTTTTGCATTTTGCATATTCAATTTTATATATATTTTCAATATTATTCTTATTGCATTTTGCATGACCTCTCTAGACGCTATTTTTTTCCATTCAGCACATTCCTCAATCTTATGTTGCTCATTTCGGTACATCACCTTTTCATCAAGGTCTCTTTTTTTTTCCTAGCAAGACCATTTCCAAAAACCACACTCGCACACCGCACACAACTTGGCTACATATACTTTAACTGTACACGTTTTCCGAAGCGCATTTCGATCCAACTCTAATCACAATTATACCTTGTTTTCAGGTGTGGGTGTTTTTGCCTACGCGTGTGAATTTGCTTGTATGTGTAATGTGTTATGTAATGATTAACTTTCTCGCTATAGGAGAAAAATACGCAAAGCTCTACATCGTAGACTAACAAATAGATGTTTATTTTCTTAATCGGTTCCTAGTTAGTTAGTCCCTATGTCATTACCAATAAAGGTAGTATTAAATTTTATCATTCACCTTTTAGTGTGTTGGTTTTTATTTTCTGGTTATAAACAACAATTTCCATTCGGTTGGCTAAACATCTATTTAAGAGATTGATTACAGAGTGTTGAAATTTATGGTGTGCAATTTTTGAGATTTTGTTTTTCAAATTTGTAGGGTGTGTTACCTAAGAATGAAAGTTATAAATAAATAAAGAATCAAAATGTGTAAATAAATATTCAGTTGGTGAGTAAGAACGCAATTTTGAATAGAAACGACGGTATTCGTTAAGGAACTTTTGTTTGTCAAACAATCCGTTCGTTTTCGGACGCAAACGAACAATGTTGTAAAATTTAGATGGTACAGTCTAAGTGAAAAGGGTATGCTTCTAAGCTATTTCCGAGTTGAAAAAGTTTGTATGGCAAAAATGAAAGATTTACCGTGATCAGAAAACTTACGAAAAGTTAAAAAAATGGCAGTCAAAGGCTACTCCCATAAAGAAGGGATTTCTTTAATGTTAGTTTCGAATCCATCTGAAGATTCCCGGTGATTTCATACACTTCATGTTTCTAATTCTCATCCCACAATACAAGGTAGATTTTTTTCCAGTTTAACAAAAACAAAAGTTGCAAAAGTCGGTAAGCATATAAATAAAAATTCAATAAAAAAAAAAAAAACGAAAGCATACATCCTTTCTAAATCACAATTTCCTCTACCCCTACTTCGGTTCGCTCACAGCACAAGCCTTAGTCTTCGCTTCTCTAGGTAAGTACCGGTTTTAGCCGGGTTTTTTTTCGCTTCAGATTCGAATCAGTCTTGAGCGAGCGCTTCTTCTTCAGCAGCTTTCCGCCGTCGTTCGATTTGGAAGATTTGCCCAGTTTGGATTGCTGTTTGGCCGAAGTGGCTTTGCTAAATTTACTTATCTTGCTCGCCTTACCTGCGTCCTTCTCTCCTCCCGAGGAAGAACCACCGCCGGGGCTCAAAGCGCAAGCCCCAGGGATGGTGCCGCTGGAGATGGGTGGTACTCCCTCACCGGAAGCCACACCAGGTGACCCAACCACCGCTGCTTGACTGTAGGTCGAGATTAGCTTCGTGAGCGCTACTGTACCGCCGGAAGTTGTCGCGGGCAGTGTGTATGAACAGCATGGTATCGCATCGAGGCTATCGTCGCAGTCCAGGCATTCTTCCAGCAGTTTCGATTCGGATTTTACCTTTTTGGAAAGTGGAAGGTCCCCCAGCGAGGGTGGTGCCGCTAGGAAATTCGGAAGCGAAGAAGCTGTAAGATTGTTTTTGAAACACAGGTCGAACCCATCCACTGCACTGCCATGCTGATGTGGTGGGGAGACTTTGATCTTTTTGCGAGGCACTTGATGCTGATCTTTGTTTCGAATAAGCTCCTGCAGCTTCTTCCCACTGGCCACGACAGGGCCAACAACACCAGATTCGCAGAGGATCTTACTCTTCTTGACGACATCCTTCTTGCCGAATCCTTTCCCGACAGCACTCACAGCCTTCCGGGAAATCTTTCCCGAGTGTCCCTTCAACGTGCCACCCTTCAGATACTGCCTTCCACTGCTGGATGTTGCCGAACAGCATCCGGATGCGTTTGCACCGAGTGATTCGCCGTTACCTTTCCCGTTTCCATTGCCGTTCCCACCTGCCCCGCCAGCACCGGGTGGACTGCCAGCACCGCCAGCTCCGGCAATCGACCCACTCGGTGGAACTCCCATGTTTTCCCACTGGAGAGCGTTCTCCTTGGCGATCTCCAACGAGCTGGACGATTGGTTGCTGAGTCGCTTGGAATGTGGCTTCGGGACCTACAACGAAACGGTCAAAGTGGAGAAACAGATGCGAACCGTCGCTTTTAAAAGGTCATGAACTTTTGGTTCTATTCTTACACCGATAGGTACCAGTAAACCCAATTAGAGATAGGTAAGAAAAAGGCAGGACAAAACCAACGAAGGTCTAGTAGGAACATGAATGTAATAATAGTAGATAGGTATTGAAACAAGATTCTAAGGAAGAAAGACAGATAGAATTAAAAAAGGGACTACAGAGTACAAGAATAAGCAGAAACAAGAAATCGAACACATTTAGAGCTTTATTATAATTATGTACTATTCAAATTCGTTTCCGTCCGGTGTTTTACTTAAATGTTGCATGTACAATCAACGATACTTTCAATCATTCATTTATAACTCACTACAATAAATATTTTCGTTCTTCGTTCCTCTTGGACTTGAAGACCAAAAATGGGGATTTCATTCTAACCAGGAATAACTAATAATATCGCCGCACTGTATTATGTAGAGAAAGATTATATAATTAATGGAAAAAAGAATCACATAAGTCAGTCAGCTCCTAAAGAATTAGTAAATAAATAACCAACAAGTGAGTGCCAGCAATCAGCAAAAAAAAAGAGACAAAAAGTAGTTGCATTCCTAAGAACTGAAACTGTTGTAATCAATCGGTAGACGAAAACATAACTGGCAGTTAGATATTTAGCAAAGCATTATTTGACTGTAGTGGTATCGGTCGAGTCACGCTGATGGCAGTTCGCCTTTCCGTATCCGTTGGTGGTCATCGGAAGTGGAATCCGAATCTAGCATGTCCAGACGGTTCCGCCGGCGCCGTTTGCTCTATTGGTTACAGGCAAATGCAGACTCTTGTTAGTGAGGCTCTCAATTTTGTACGGAAAATGTGAATTTCGAGCAAGGGATGTGGCGATTGGTAAAATTAATGGAATGCCTACATTTAAGATGATGGAATGATAAGTACCGGAAAGTGTGCCGATTTCGATAACAAATGGCTACGAAATTACGGCCGCTTTCCGGTCTAGACAGTTCCTACGGTTTGATTCTCTGTTGAAGGATTTTAAATCAACAGGAATGCTGTTCAGGTGGGACAAGAGTGCCACCCCAAAATGTTTGAAAATAAACGCATTTTCAATACTATCTCAGCCATGAAACTATCAATGGTATTCGTATGCAGCATTGTAGAAAGTTCTATTTAAAATGAAGTAGGGGGAAGTGGGGCAATGTGGCCAAAAAATCAACTTATTGGACATATATATTACACAAAATCTTTAACAGCCTACTCGAACTATCCATTTCATTTTAGTCTAAAAAATTACTTTTCTCTAGAGTAAATATTCGAAAAATGTTAGACTAGCTCAAAATGTCAAAAATGTTATAACTGACTTCTGAATCAGAAAATAAGGTCTGTTACCGCGAGGCAATTAATTTAGGATCAAGTCTATAAGTCAACCCGCACAGTTGCATAAGTCTTAGCTGATGTCGATACCAAGGCCAAGGAAAAGAAATGAAAAGTAGGGCAAAACAACGACAGCTCGCTTACATAGTCTGACTGCACTATTTACTTAGGATGCATATGCGCTCGAGTAGGATAAACACATGTAGATTAAGATTAGTTTTCCCTCTTTGTTCATCCCTCACGAAGGTAATAATCTATTGTTCAAACGTTACAAATGCTCGAATTCTTATTTGTAAATAAATTCAATAAATTCATGAGCATATTGAGAAATCCCGGTTCCGAAAAGGACATAGTATATAAGGACTCGAAAACATAGATTAGCCCTTTTTAAGCCAGCTAATGTAACACATAGATTTAAGATCCTTTGTACAGAATGGAAAATAAAACTAAGTTCGTAAGTTACTCCAGATTCTTCTCATTTTTTAATCCGAAAGAACATTCGGCCTAGAAGCGAAAACTTCTCTCCTTAACCGGAGAAAAAAATTAGCTCCTAGAATCAAAAAAACAGTGTCTAACCTAATAAGCGAAAGACTCTCCCTAACCGGAGAAGAAAGTAGCTTTTGGCCGCGACAAGGTCTATCTGAAGTTTCTTATAACTTATCGTTGATATTCCTTCAGCAGCTTTACACATGATCATGGGTTTATATGACACGAGGTAGGGGTAAGAGGGGCATAGTGAGCATCCCGCACTTCGGCTCTGGATCTCTAGCTGCGTGAAACAAATCAACTGGTAGTAGGTCCAATATCATTATGATATTGATCCTACCACCGACCAATTTGTTCCGAACGACCGGAAGTCCAAGCTGGTGCACGGGATGATCACTATGCCCCACCTGTTCACTATGCCCCTCTTGCACTATCTGTAGTTTTTAATAAAATATTTTCTTAACAATATATTACTTAAGTCAATTCGTGGCAATATGAGCACCACTGATATTTCATCTTAAATTCTTCAATTTTGCATTATTTTTTTCATAAATATTACTGTTTCATGTGAAAGCACGTTTTGAAGCAGCTACTTTGGAAAAAAAAATATAGCCTCAAATAGACAGTACTTCTAAAATTTAAATTATTCTACAGAAAATAATTGTTTCTTTAAAATCTTTTTATGCTAAAACTGTTCATATTTGACCCTCCATAAAGCCTCAATAGAACACGCAGAGAAAATTGACCTTATTGAACCAAAAAAAAATATTATTGAAATATTTTGCAATGTCAATTATAACTTTTTTTGAATTCAATATTTATATTTTGTAGCTTCAAAAATGTTTTTTGTTGTTTTCATTGCAAATTCTGAAAACAAATATATTGTAGATTCAATAAAATATATTTTTGTCTTCAAATATTATTTTAACTACTTTTTAAAAATATATTGTAAATTTAAAAGCAACACTTTTCCAAAACATACACAGTTTTCAATGCCTGTACATGCTCGGCTTCCCAGTCTCGTCGGAAGAAGTTCTTTTTGAACAAGTTGCTTTCTTTGTAAGGAATTCAGTATTTGCATTTTAATACGTGTTTTAACGATTTTTCCCCAATTCCAGCAAATCAATACAACGTGGAAACGTTGCCCGTTTCGAAACGCAAACTATTAATTTACATACCGTTAATGAGAGGTCATAATTTCGTTATTTTTTGTATAATTGATAAACCTATTTAATCACTATTAATAAATAGAAAATGAAACCAAAAACAATTTTTAAATTTATTGAAAATTATTTCTCGAATAGAAAAACTGCTAAAATTAAAAATTAAAATATTTATGGCAAACCAATTTTATTTTTAAATTATTAAAAACAATTTGTTATTTGCAGCAATTTTTTTTTTGAATAAAAAAAAGTTATTGTTGGTAGCAACTTATTTTTTTTTTATCAAAAAAATATTTTGTCTGTTTGAAAATAAATATTGTAAATTCAACAAAATATATTTTTAATTGCGTTTTTGACAGATTTTGAAAACAACAATATTTTATGTCCGAACAATAAAGATTTATTGTTGAATTCAATAAAAAAAAGTTATTAGCCGGGGAATGATAATTTTTGTTGTTGTTTTTAATACATAATATCATTGAAATTAAAAAACTTTTTTCTGCGTGAACAGAATACTCTTACCGGTTGTTTTCAAGGTTTCATACCACCTCTAGAGGGTGCTCATTTTACCGGCCAATTTAATTCAACCAACAATCAATAGGAAACTAACGATTTTAAATTGGCTCACTTCTTGACTAGCCTATTGGTCCCAAGCAAACAATTAACGTACCCTATTCTAGTCGAAATTCTAGTACTACACGATGTTTGTTTTGATTCGCTATGAAAGTTTGACAGATAAAATGAGGGGTTCGTAGATTTTCCTATGTTTCGAGGGGTGAATCGATTAGCTTGGGACCGAAGATAGTAGCAGAGCTGAGCCAAAAAGTTGGGCACGTTTCTTCGGGACCTTCTGGTCTTAGAGTTACCTCTATGATTCAACTACCTTGTTTAAACCCAGTTTAACCATAGAGTTAACTCTAAGACCAAAAGGTCCCGAAGAAACGTGCTCAACTTTTTGGCTCAGCTCTGGTACTATCTTTGGTCCCAAGCTAATCGATGCACCCCTCAAAACATAGGAAAATGCACGAACCCCTCATTTTATCTGTCAATATTTCATAGCGAATCAAAACAAACATAGGGTAGTACTAGAATTTCGACTAGAATGGGGTCCGTTATTCGATTTGCTTGGGACCAATAGGCTAGTCAAGTAGTGAGCCAATTTCAAATCGTTAGGTTCGAATTGATTGTTGGTTCAACTCTTAACATTCTTGCATTTACTCAAAGGTGCTCCAATGCTCTCAAGGGTTTGTTTTTATTGAACACAGCTGGATCGAGCAGACGCGCCAATCTACTCGAAGGTTAAATTTTGTCAGACGCAATTAGGTGTATCATCTATTAAGAGACGCACATACCCATTAGCCAGTGGCTAGTATGATTAATAATCAAATGGCTGTGTTTATAAACAAGCACTAATCGATTTCATTTCATTTAAGACGCATGGCTCTTTTGTTCCATAGGGGTTGGCACTCTTGCCCCATAGCAGTTTCAAAAAAAGATGACGTGATTTAATTTGCATTACATTGTTGATGTATGAAGGCAATGTTATGAGCATGCAATACGATGCACAAACTCCTATAGATATCCACTATATCGCATATATAGAACGTATAATTGTTAAGGTGGCAGTCATGCCTCATCAGACCCTAAATTTGTTTAAGTAACTCTGTGGACAATTCCATGACGATTGTGCGGAGGATTCCAGGGTTCGTGAAAAATACCAAGGGAATCGAATTTCGATATTACAATGGATTGCGCCAGCGAAAACAAAAACGAATATTAAATGTACCAAAAGGTTCTAATTTTGTGAAAATCAACTTTTAGTGGTTTTTTTTTCCTACAAAATAAATCGCCATAACTTTATTTTACTAGAGACATCTGTTGCGAAAATCAGCCATACTGGCAAGCCATTCCAAATAAATTTTGCGAACACTTTTAAGGAAATTCCGAGGATAATA